CCACGTGTACGCGCACGTACACACACGTGACGTTTTTGTAGGCCCTTCTCGTGCATTTCGTTGCGAATAAATTCTCTCGAAGTATAAATCACGATAGGCAAAGGCGTTTTTTTAGGCCCGATACACCCTATCGTCCGCTCACGGTCCGATCAAATATTCTTTCATTGTTTATTCTTTCAAATCGTTCGTTGCTGAAGCGAGACCGGACCAAAACTTGAGCGTTACCCATAGTGTGGATACGTATATTATAAATAATGAAAGAATATTTGATCGGACCGTGAGCGGACTATCAACGGACCGATAGTATCGGGCCTTATTAATGTGGAGAAATGTAAAATTTTGAAATCTCGATTTCACGTTTTATTTCGACCAGGAAGATCAACACGTTTTAACTCGGAGTGGACTTCTTAACGAGAATTTGAAAAAACATTGTAATATATCAATTTTGCTCGAGAGATTTATATTAAGATGAAAGTTGTGCTTGTGAGAAATTAACCGGAGACCATCATTAACTTCCTTATATCTATTTATTTCAATTATGGATTACGCGAATCGTTTTTCTCCGTTTTTTTGTTACAGTGTAGATCGGCACGAGGGTGTCGCAATTAATATCTCATTCTGTCTCAATGCAACGCACGTCGATTGACGCCGCTGAATTAATTGATATTTGAAAGTTCGGTGAAAGTGTGTGTCCACTGTAAATCACGCATGCCGATCGCCATGCCGTTAAAGAGACATTTAAAAGCGCGGGCGTGCATAGTAAAGCCGGATTCCTACTAAGCGAGCGAGCGCGAATGAACGCGAATCAACAACTCGCTTCAATGAACGTGAACGATGTCGCCGCACTGTCGCTATACGTTCATTCGTGTTTGTTCGCGCTCGCTTGGTCCGGATCCGGCCAAACGATATCGAAAACGAGTTAACGATGACGTCGAAAAACAGACTGAGGCAGATCGCGGGATTCCTGTCATTCCTGACGGCATGTGCACGTTTTCCACGATTACGTTCACCGAGCTCACGCGCGCGAACGCGATCGGGCTTTCGGTTACGGCTCATTTCGTCGCGTTTAACGCAATGAAGCTCTCACGAGCGAGCGTCGATGTATCCGTCGCCTCGTGGAGAAGAGACTCCGGATACACGGACGTCAGGACTCGTCCAGGACGTGTCCGGACATCGAACGGCTTGCTAATGCGGGCCCCGAGCGCGGCGCGGAAAATGAGCGTATGCATATGCGCCGCGGTGTACGCCGCCGCCGCCGAGAAAATCGAGAGACGGCTCTCGCGGCGGAAGGTTTAACAGACACGTGGCGCGTACGTAAAAAAAAGAAAATTATCGAAAGTGCAAAATTTACTGCCGAGAGGCGTCGCTCGACGTTACACGCGACGCAATGACGTAAAAGATGAAAATTAAGTATTTGCCGGTGCCGGCTGTGGCGAAATGGACGCAGTCTTCGGAGAATTGACTCTTACGGGAGGAACGCAGCACGCAAAGAACACACGAAAATGTTTTCGAGAAAAGAAAGATACATACATAAAGAAAAAGACTCTTCCTCGCGAAATATAGAGGCATTTCGACGGAAAAATATTTTATATCGCGTGATTTCTTGTTTAAGATCGCAGCTTTGAAAATCACATCTGAAGATGCGCTGCGATCTTCCATGTGCAAGACTAATTATCTTAATATTTTAGATTGGGAGCAGTGAAATAGCGACAATGAAAGTACACGTGAGAATGAAGATATAATAACCGCGGCGCGAAATTTAATGTGACGCGAGAATAGTGCGAACCAATGCGAACTCTATATAGAAAACCATAATAAGAAGATCTCAAAAGATGAGAAATAAGATTCACGATAACATTGCACGATGATCCAGCATCCAAAAAGCCCAATTATGGAATTTTTCAGAAAAGAAGCAATATAACATTTTTAATATCGTCCACAAACGGACTTTACCAATTAACTCGTTATATTTTTTTTTATTAGTATTCATATACAATGCGATTTTAGTGGCACAGTTAACGAAAATTCAACATTAACTTTAATTCAATATTAATGTTTCTTATTTATTTATAGCAACGTACTAAGATCACGAATTCGCGCTATTTTAATTTTCTGCGAACGAAAGTAAATCCCACTTTTCGTCTCATCTAATTTGTTCCGCTGAGCAACAGAGCGTTTGTTAAACCGCAATGAGACGCACCGAATAAATAGATAATTATAATGCAAGGATAATTGTACTCACCATCCTGCGCAGCAGCGTTTGTCCCTCCGCGCCAATGGCTGCACCCTCGATCTAGCCGTCCACTCGCCCACCGATCGATGGAGAAAAAACGCGGTTAATTACCGCTACGCACATCGATTAATAACGCGATACGTTCGCGCGCGGCACTTGACTCGGCACTACCGACGCGCATTATGCACGTGCGCACGTATGTACACACGTTTACCTTCCAACGTGATAGAAAATACCGCGACACTTTTGCGCCGAGATGATTGAATATCGGATTTGAGAGAACTTAAACCGCCGCCGTGTCATGCACACACATGTATACATATATCTTAGTATGTAACGATCAAACGACACACTCGCGACACTCTTAATGCACTTTACGCACAAGGTTACATATACTCTTTATTTTACACACACGCATTTTGGTACGTCGAGTATCGGTACCCTGTGCGATCGTCACGGATCGCAGATCGCAGCCGTGAGACGCGCGGGTCGATTTACGACATTTATACGTGATTAACGTTTGTTCGATGCTCCGCGCGACGCTGTCGAAATGTAAGTGAGCGCGGACGTACGCGTATTTTTCACTAAAAGCGAACACGGTAGTCGCGCGGGTCAATGTCACGATGACTTTAATTGCCGCGACCGTTCTCGCTGGAACAATCGCACGCGATCAGCAGCGAGATATCAACAACTTGCACGCATTTATATAACGATCCTTTTCAGGGTTGAGAAAACAATGATAAAGAAGATAGAGTAAGAGAGTAGAGAGATGGATCGACGTAAAGAAATGTCTCTGCGTTATACGGTCACGTGTATATGTCGTAATTTACATATAGCACAGTAATATTATATATTACACGTGATCTATGTTAAATCGAAATATATATAATATTAAAACTATATGTAATATAATATATAAAATGTGGCAATTAATATCTTGTAGTCAGGTGAGTTTGTGTATTAGAAGATTAACATTTTCTAAGATTAAAGAGCAACGTTACTTTCTTCGTAATCGTAAATATCAAATATAAAATTCGTAGATATCAAATATATATAAAAATTATTTACTATGATTTTAAATCGTAGATTATCCCGGAACAAGTTTTGAGTGAATAAAATGACCGTTATACCGTTTATCGTCATACTACTGGTTAGATATTTACATCCTTATTTGTATTTAATGAGATTTTATTCTGTTTTATTTTCGACCTGAGAAACACATTCTTAAAAACATTACTTTCTTCTTCAATTAAATACTTAATAGAATCAGAGATTAGATCAAAAGGATCATAATTTTATTCGTTCTACGATTATATTCATACTTTAATTATATTATGCGCAGTAACGAATTTAAATTTATGCGCATTGACTTTATTTATGAAACAGGTTCGACGATATAAGTATTCAAAAAAGTTTAAAACATTTGATAAATATTTTTCGGTATGTTATGAAACATACCGAATTATATATATATTATAGGTATATGAAAGTTTCTATTATTTAAATCAATCTAAAAATAAAATCGAAAATATTATATGTTAAATAGAAAAATTAAAAAACAATTTTATAAATTTTTCAAGCTTATCGAGCAAGAAGTTAATTTGACCATATTTTAGCGTTGTAAATATTCTCCTTTTTAATTTATATAACAAGCTCATATTAAATAACTTGCATATAATCTATTTACTATTGCAGTCTTATTGCTGTTATATTTGCTACGGCAAAAGACACTTTCTAAAAAAAACTATTGTGTGCTGTCATCTAACGATGCATTACTCGAATTTCGCTTGCGTGTACTCGATAATTTTAGCATACCTATTAGTGTTACATGTTTATCCAACGAACTTGACATGTAGCTTTATCTTTTGCATAAATCTTTTTACCGATATATAGTAATACCACTACATACATCGTTACGTTATCGACGGTACTTCATCGTACTTATCGACGAAGACCGCGAACGCGACCATTTGAAATTATCGCGTTTGAGAAAATGACGTACTTATATGCATTATCAAGCAAGAATTCGTACTGAAATTAATCTGGAAAATACGACATCTCTTCGCGCGAATCCTCAGATACGAATATCCTCTCGTTTTTTTTCTAAATATTGCGCTTATGCGCGAGTAACCACCTACTGAGAAATTTATCACATATATTAATTGACAAAGCTGAATTACCGTCCGGTAACGGCACAAAATTGTCAAGTGCCAATCTCGCAAAAATCACGTAGGTACAAAATATTACCATGTATAATTGTAATAATATTCGCGCGCCCTCATATATAATATAAAACATAAATATCTCGATCGTCCTATCAATTCATCTCTTCTCTTTCTTCCTCCTCTCTATCATTCTTTTCTCGAATCTTGAGAAGAGTCGCCATTAACGCGACAAGTCGACAAGTCGTGCGGATGAATAAACGCGACTTGAACGCGACTGCATGGATGACTCACCGTCGTCGCGCGTAGCCGACCGTCACATTACAAGTCTGTGTCTTCCAAAATCGCGTCTTTTCGCGATGACGAAACCACCGCGCTCATTCTCCGGACGTTACTTAATTCGCGCTCGCAAAGCCGGCGAGCCGCCGCGAGCCGCGAGCCGCGACCGTCTCCCCGCATCCGAGAATCCGAGGACTCCGAACCGAACTCCGTGAACTCCGTCACTCCGACCGAGAAGAAGCTCCGATTTAAACGGCGCGATATTCACGGCGTCACGTGACCGCCGTCGCCGGACTGACTGAAGTTGCGCGTTGCGCGCGCGTCGCTCCGGCGCGTTACGTCACGCTCCGAAAGCAAACAAGTTCACGCCGTACCGTAACCGCACGCACGGCGCGAGCTAACCTAGCCCACGTATCCGCGACGTGCCGATGTCGATTTAAAGGAGGGACAGGGATTACAGTCCCCGCCGCGAACGCGACATGTCGGCAGGCGAGCTTAGCTGTCCGATTGAGAGACGTTGACCCGCGTCGAGAGTCGCCAGGATGTTCGTCGACCCGTCATCGCGCTTCGCACCACGAACTTGATATTCTATTTCGAGTCGTACGCAATGCGTTAATCGTTTATTTATAAACGTGCCGCTTCTGCAACTGACGTTTACCGAGGTCCCACGCGCGCTCTCGCGTTATCGTAAAATGCGTTAAAGCTGCAACGTCCCTCTCTCTCTCCGTCGCACTGGTTTTTTTTCCCCCCATTTTCGTGTACAAGTTATGGACGAAGTTTGGTTTCACCTCTCGAATCAGCTCGAAACGTTGCAGGTAATCGGATTTCCCTCAGATCTCTTTATATAATCTTACTTTATACATTTTCAATTATAATTTTTCAATTTGGAACAATTGGAACTGACTCCTATTGCCCTTTGTTTTCAAATTTCATGGAACTCGCGTGACTTCGCAGTGTATACTTAGAAACGACCTATATTTGTGCAATATATAAAATTACATAAGTTTCACGTTTCCTTTTGAACTGAAAGATAAACGTTTTAGTATATTGTGTGTCACTATTATATAAATATTTCAATATTATGTAATATTTTGGTGTCTCAGACTTAATGTGCGAATCGCTTGGCATAAAATATAAATTATTCATAGAAATCTCAGTATACTACACAAAAAAATTTGGGGGAAGGTTCAAGCATCGCTAGCGGCGCAACAGGGACAGCAATGGTGTGCGGCTTGGCTGGCGCAGTTGCAAGAATTTATCCAGCAGCTTTGCGACGAGCAACACGCTCAGTACGCCAAAGACATCGCGCTGGGCATGGCTGCCTCTGTACAGAGAGGGTGGCAAGAAATTCAGTTTCAGTATTACAATAGTCAATGGAACACAATAGATTTTTATCGCCAACTGGGAACCTTGTGTGCTGGTAAAGGTACGTTGAATATTTCAAAAATGTTTCCAACAATGTCACGCGTTTCTGTATGTAGCGCCAAAGTGGATTTTTATCGCACGTATGTTTGTTTATATTCTGTTCAGTGTCGAGGAGAGAAGCGATGTTTTGCTTGACAGGCCTGATGATTGGAACTGTAACCGGCTACTATATCGGCGTAACTTGGAAACCTGCCTCTCGACATGTACATCATATAAAAGCTATTGCCTGCCACCATTATTACGGTATCGAGGTATATATCGTGTATAATGCCTGCGTTTGTTTATTCACATTGCCAATGGGAATAAACAAACGCAGGCATGACATCCTATTACAGTTTTGAGTGTAGATATAGATATCGTGTCTCGTTATTGCTACAGGGTGTGCTGATGATAGACGACTCTGAAATGCCAACGATTAAGAAATCGAACGAATTACTCATACAAGTTAAGGCCGCTTCACTTAATGTTATCGATACAAAGATATGCTCTGGTTACTCTAGGATTTATAGAAGATTACTTAACTCAGGAGTAAGTAAAAACTTTCCCGAACGCCCACCGATATCCGAATACAACGCAATATCGTTGTAATGCACGAACGTATGTATTTAGAAACAGAAAGAACTACCTGTAACTTTAGGGAGGGATTGCGCCGGAGTGATAGTCGACGTTGGACAAGGCGTTATCAACTTCGACATCGGAGATGAGGTATTTTTAGCCGTGCCATCGTGGGCTTCTGGCACGATGGCGGAATATATAATTGTTCCAGAAACGCAAGTAGCAAGACGGCCTAAATCATGTAACTTCGAAGCCTCCGCCAGCCTGCCTTACAATGGTTGCTTGGCGTGGGACGCTTTAGTTAATAGATCTGTCATCAAGGAAGGCAATGCCAAAGGAAAACGGTAATGCTCTTGATGCTTACTCTTAGCTCTTGTATCTGAAATATCAATTGATATAATATTATCGTTATAGAGTTCTCGTTTTCGGCGGAAGTACTCCGATCGGTTGTATCTTGATGCAATTAATTAAGTTATGGGGTGGATATGTAGTAACCGCTTGCCGAACAGACGCCGTGCCCATAATGAGGGCATTGGGTGCCGACGAAGTTATGATAATAAACGAAACTGACATCGAAAAGGAACTACAATTACACGATAAGTACGAAAAAGTTCTCTGCACAAGACTTATAATTATATTTCAAATTATCTTATTTAAATGAAAGAATAGAAAATGTAGTAGTGTTTTTTTAATTATATCGAGCCCATCTTATTACAGGTACGATGCGATTTTTTATACTGATAATCAACCCTTTCAAGAACATATTTTAAAGAAACACTTGTTGCCTCATGGCTCCTATGTATCAACTGTTCCTGAACAATTGACGTCGGACTCGCTGGGATTTATTTGTGGAAGCATATTTGCTGGATGTGTTAGAATAAAATTATTGGTTCAGGTATCGGTTTATTCCAGTTAATTCCATTCCAATTAATAATCATCAACTGTATTACTGACTGATACTTTAAATTATAGTACATGTTCGGATTTAACATGCATCAATGGAAAGAAGGAGCAAAGTTGAATGTCGCATATTTGCGAACATTGTGCGAGCTGACCGATGCGAATCAATTGCAAACGGTTGTGGACAGGGTGTACGCGCCATACAATATCGAGCGAGCGTTGCTCCATGTCTTAGATCCAAACTCTATTGGTAGTACGATTATAACGTTTCAGTGACAGTATCATTGGAAGAAATTTATATCGCGACTATATATCTTTTGTACATAACAGTGTATAATTTTTGGCGGCTATTGCCGCCAATCATTGCCGTATACTGTTAATAAATATTTACATCATTGCAAACCAAGAAATGGTAGTTCAAACATGCTTGGTGCTACAATAAAGACTGATGTGATATAATGAATAGACATAGAATACTTTCTAGAATCCTTTTCTAAATTCCTTGCCAAGTTATATTAATAAGAAATGAAATATATAATATATGATGAAGATACATGATAATGACAATATATATGATGATACTGATTATCCGCTTGAATTTAAATGATGTAACAATGTTGTTTGTTAAGATTTTTATAAAAACATGCTGCGACAGATTATTGTTGAACGCTCGCTATGATACATTCATAATATATATTGTACATGAATATTGTATATATTTTGCGAAATAAATAGAAAAAATTATACTATGGTTATATTAGTTCGAGACTGCAATTTGCATAGAAATTTATAAAAAAAAATTAACGCGCGACATGTGTATAAGACACTGTGCCGAAATAGCATTTTATACAAGACACGAGTACGCTATCATTGTTGTATATTTTTTGTCAAATTTGTAAAATTACTCTCACTTTGCTTTACCGCGAAATTTGCTGTTACCTGCCTTCGTCTTTTTAGCCGGTGTCTTTTTTTCTTCCGCCTATAATAATGTGTAAAGAAAATATCTTATTTAATTAAGATTCAGAGATATAAAATAATAATAGTTCGAGAAATATCTCACCTTCCTTTTTGGAGTCGGAGTCGAGTTTGGCAAAACTTTGAAGAACGAGTCCAATCGGCCCTGCGTGGACGTATTTCGGGCCTTGTGAAGTTTCTTTGCTCCATTTCTAACCCGTTCTTCGTTAAACTGCTTGTCACCACATAAATACTTCACCAGACCTTCTTCATCTGGTTCGGACCATTTTAGCTTGCAAGATAAAAGAATATTCAGTATATTTGATTTACGTAAGGAAAAATTATTCGGTATAAAAAACAATACCTGAATGTCATCTGGATTCGATACTTCTGGTTCTTGAAACAATAATCTTGCCTCTTTGTAATTCCAATCTTCCGGTATGGGATATTTCTTGGTATCTATATTGTCAATAATCTTTTCAAGGTTTCTATGATTTTTTATCAACTCTATTGCCCTTTTTGGGCCAACGCCTCTGATACTATTTGTATAATCACATCCCAACATAATACAGAGGTCAATGAACTGTAAATTATGTATTATTTCAGAATAATGAATAAACTTGTAATAAAAAAATCATTGTTGAGTAAACACAATCTGAATGCACACCTCATCATGATTCAGCTCCAAACCCGCTAGAACTTTATCGAAATGAATCTCCTGTACGGGTAACTTCCTGGCTTCGCTGAAGGTTAAGCGTCGTAGTAGCACATTGCAGCCAAAAGTGAGTGCGTCCATATCTTCCGTAGCAGTAGCAAAAACTTTACCAGCTTTCACTAAAGCGGCACACTGAGCTTCGGCCTCGCAAGGAGCCTGCGCAGGAAATATCCATTAGGAATAAATAAAGAAACTGCGATTTCACATAAATGCTTACATCAATATAAGGTATGCCCATTAACCGAAGTAATTCTTTAGCTTCCTCAGCGTGAGTTTTCGTAACTTTAACCAATCTCCTATTAAACTTGTCTATAGCTTCCACATTTCCTTTAATAAAAAAATAACTATAATAATCTTTTGCAATCTTCTTACATAGAACATAATGCATTATTTTCAGAGTATTATTACAGCAATAAAGATATATATGTCATTACCATCTTCTTCAGCAGCCTGCAGGAGTTTCTGTGCTTCATCCCTCCTTTCAGCTCTTTTGGCTAATTCTCCACTTTTCAGATTTGGTGGTTTTCCATCAAATACGTACACAGGCTTTACTCCTTGCTCCACCAAGCGTATGGTACGATAAAATGTACCCATTAAATGGCTGCGTAACAAAATTTATGTTGCCAATTAGTTTTTATCTTAATTTTCTGTATTATTTGATGAAAATCAGATAAAATTTGTAACAAAAGATTGTTGTGCAATCAAGAAATATACCTGGTTGTTTCGCCATCTACGGTCGTGAGCTGGGCTCCTTCACTGCGCACAGCTATAAGAAACTGATACAAACACATGGATGCGTCGATAGCTATCTTGCGACCTGAAGCCAAATAGAAGAAATAACATTAAAAACAAGTTCGATAATTGATTGTAACATGAGGATGCAGAATACAGATAGTAAAATTTTGTCGCCAAGATACGAAGATCGTGTCGATCGTGGTTCTCGGTCAAAGGCACAAAATCAAACGCAAGACAGACAAGTAACCACATACCGAAGTAATGCTTCAATTCTCGCTCTTTGATAGCTTCCGGAGCAATGTCCGCTATTAACTTTGACAAGCCTAAAATACCCATGTCGGCGAAATGTCATGCACGTGAAACCGATAACTGCGTCATACAGACATTTTCTGAGAGGCGAATGTGCTTCCCGCCAATTTCCACAAGACGAACGAGGTCTGAAGGTCTGAACTGGTCTGAACTGAAGTAAGTTGCGTACGATGTCGCAGAACAATAAGCATATGTTGGCAATCGTGGAGAAAACACTGCCTTTAGCAGCTATTCACGCGCCTCTCAAGCATCAAGCATCACACTTCATGTCACTCAAGCTGGGTTCGTCTTGACGCTTTCAGCGCGCTGTAAGCATCATTCTATCTTCGTTGCACATCGAACATCAAACAAAGATAGAGCGAATAGCGATGCTTTGAAAGCGTCAAGACGAACGCAGCCTCAATAGGGCGCGTTCAGCAGACACAACTGTTGAGTTCGTCTTATCAACACTCTGCGTCGATTGGTTGGTTCTAAAAGTAAGAGCCAATCACGTTCGACCGCTACTGAGCGGCTTGGTCTACTGTGCGCACCCACGTGTTGGTGTTGGTGTCGTTGGGAGTTAACCTCCAAAGACTCCAAAACGAGTGCCACATGTTTTTCTTGCCACTGCTTTATTTAGGTAATGAGAAATGACGAACAACTGCGATTTGATAAAGACAATCGAGGATGATCAGGAGGTGCCGGATTATTCGGAGAATTCGGACGAGGAGGACGACGTAAGCTGAAACGGAAGCTTTGTGTCAAAACGATACAAGCTATTCCTGTTAAAAACATTTTACTTTATTTTACTTTTGTTTCGTAAAATGTTCTTTTTCTTTGTAAACATATCTTTGTTTTGTCTCGAGAGCTAATAATTTTCTTCCAAAATCAGTATCAACCACGGAAGCAGAAGAAAAAAGAGAGCAAAGACTTCGACAGTGGCTTCCAATTCACTGCTGCTGAACACAATCAGGATCCCTGGAATGACTTGAGCAAGTATATTAAACGCAAACCGAACACAAAATTAGATGACAAGATAAAGAAAGTCAGGAAAGAATATAAGCAGGTATGTGACGTCATTATCTGCAATGGTCATGAGATATGTTACAATAAATCTTAATGTCTTATGAAATATTTACTGTTAAAATTGATGAGATTATAAACAAGAATTTGCTATTATGATTGTTAGGCTGGAACAGAGGATGATCCTGTTAAAATTGAACCAGAAATAGACCAGGATGACGATACAATTTCTCTATCTGAGGATGAACTTAAAAAAGGTAGTTTTATTTATATAATACAGAGCCGAAACAAATTTATGGAAATTACGACTTTGATGGATTTATATTTGCACACACATACTCGTACATAACAGGAAATATTGATTATATTATTCATATGTCATATACATTTAATAAGGAATATATAAATACTTATCTCGCTTATTGATCAATTATAGATACCTTTAAGACCAAGGAGAAGAAAGGCAAAGTGAAAAAGTCTGTGAAAGAAGAGGACGAGGAAGCTGTCGATTTCGAGGAATATACAGATTCTCAAACGCATGCTACGTTTTATCAAATGAACTTATCTAGGCCTTTGCTGAAGGTATGTAATATCATTGCAATTACCTTGTAAAATAGTATTCAAGATAGTATATACACATATGAAATGTGTTAATATCAATATCTAATAAAAAGTATAAAATCTATTTAAAATATAGTAGTATATAATGATTAATTTACAAAAACTTTACAAATTTCTAGGCCATAACAACAATGAATTTTGTACAACCAACTCCCATACAATCTGCTACCATTCCGGTAGCTTTAATGGGTCGTGACATCTGTGGTTGTGCGGCAACGGGCACAGGGAAGACTGCGGCTTACATGCTTCCCACTTTGGAAAGATTATTATACAGGCCGTTGGACGGTCCCGCTATTTCGCGTGTTCTCGTGCTTGTGCCTACCAGAGAGCTGGGAGTGCAAGTTTATCAAGTGACAAAACAATTAGCTCAATTTACAACAGTAGAAGTTGGTTTGTCTGTCGGTGGATTGGATGTGAAAGTACAGGTAAATTATTTCATCCTCTGTTATATAACTTCTTTTAAATTATTAAAGCCAAAATTGGATAATTCATTCTTCATACTTTTTTTTTACATGCATTGTATAGGAAGGTGTACTGAGAAAAAATCCAGATATTGTAATAGCAACGCCTGGGAGATTAATCGATCATTTAAGAAATGCGCCTACTTTTTCCTTGGACAGTATTGAAGTATTAATTCTGGATGAAGCCGATAGGTAAAATAATTAGTGTACAAATATGTTTCCTTAGTACTGTGTCGTTATTAATTGATTACATATATGATAATAACTATATTTAATCAACTTTTAATTTAAGAATGTTAGATGAATACTTTGCTGAACAAATGAAATACATTGTGAAGCAATGCTCAAGAAGCAGACAAACTATCCTGTTTTCTGCTACCATGACTGAAGAAGTCAAAGATTTAGCTGCAGTGTCTCTTGACAAACCTATTAAAATATTCGTGGATAGCAATCAAGATGTAGCCTTTAATCTGCGTCAAGAATTTATTCGGTAAAATAAACTACTTGCAGTTATTATTTCTAATACATCATTATTATTTATCATATAAATATGATTTTAGCATACGTAAGGAAAGAGAAGGTGACCGTGAAGCAATCTTAGCAGCGTTAGTTTGCCGAACTTTCCACGATCACGCCATGGTTTTTGTACAAACGAAAAAACAAGCTCACAGATTGCATATTTTATTGGGATTATTAGGTGTGAAAGTAAGTAAAACATTAACTAGGATATAATAGAAAGTAGAGAAGAATAATATCTAATATTGAGTATAATATTAATTTTTATATTGTCTTTTTTTCGTATTTAAGGTTGGGGAACTTCATGGTAATCTCACACAACCACAACGATTGGAGAATCTTCGGAAATTTAAAGACGAGGAAATTGACATTTTATTAGCGACTGATGTTGCTGCAAGAGGTTTAGATATAAGCGGTGTAAAGACTGTGATTAATTTCGTGATGCCTGCTACTCTTCAACATTATATACACAGGTATGAAATAAAGCTTCTAACACATTGTTTACATATGAAAAAATTACGTTTGTAATTATTAGAGTAGGGAGAACTGCAAGAGCAGGACGTGGAGGTGTTTCTGTATCGTTAGCTGGAGAACAGGAACGTTCTTTGGTAAAAGAAGTTATCAAGCAAGCGAAAAATCCGGTCAAGAATAGGATAATACCGCCTGACATAATAGAGAAATATAATAAGAAATTACAATCCTTGGAACCAGACGTAGAAAGGATTTTGCAAGAGGAAAAGAGTGAAAGAGAATTGGCTAAAGTAGAGAATGAAGCTAACCGTGTTGAGAAGTTACTTAAAGTTGAAGATGGCAAGGATAAGAGAAGTTGGTTCCAATCCAATAAGGAAAGAAAGAGAGAGAAAGGTAATACAGCATATTATAATATAATACTTTATATCCCAATAAGAAAGATAGAGAAGAACAGCAATATGCTCCCTCCGGATTGTAAACTACTTAAATTATATATTTTCAGATAATTTTCGATTAACTAAGAAACAAATTGGCAAAAATAAAAAGCATGAGAAAGAACCTCCCAATATAGTGCAAGAAAAAAAGAAAAAAGCACAAAATGACCCTAAAAAGGATACAGCTGAGGATAGAGCTAAGAAAGAACTAGAAAAAATAGCCGCCTATCAAGCGCGATTAGCCAAAAAAAGTAACAGGCAGAAGAAAATTAGAACAGTTATGGATGAAAATAATCGTGATTCTGCTAAAAAAGGTATAATTTCGTATCTGTAATTTCATATTTATATCAAAGACGTCGTTAATTCAATAAATTATGTTATTTTAGGATCATTGAAACGACCAAGATCATCGTTCGCCGCTGATTTAACGGATACGAGCAAAAAGGGTGTTAAAAAAATGCGATACGAGTACGTTTTAAATTTTTTCTTTATCAAAATTTATAATACATAATGTAATGATTTCTTTTTTTTTTTTTTTTTTTTCAGAGCAAACGTCAAGAAAAAACAGAACACATTTAAAACGCAACAAAAAAGTAAATTTGCAACGAAAGGAAAGGGCCAAAAAAAATCTTTTAAAAAGCGCTAATTTTGTAACATATACGCGGCACGCATAATTCTATGATTAAACACATACATACAGCGTGTTACTTAATTTGTTTTATTATAGAACCATTACAATACGCCATATGTCTCACAGATCGACAGATGAATAGCACTGATTAATTGGTTGTTTAATCAGATTATGTATATTTTTCGTAATCTATGACCTATTTGAAAAAAATTGCAGTACTATGCAGAAAAGGATCGTACATTTCAAAAATGTTTTTATCGTATTCCAATTTCAATCAGCATAATATATATATATATATATATATATAAAGATATTTGCTAATTGATAACATATAGCATGAATCTAATGAGAAAACTGAATTTAATGAGAAAACTACACGAAAAAAAGAGAAATATCAATGATAATAAGAGAAAGAATGACATATTTTCAGATTTGGAAAATTATATAATTGTTGGAAAGTGCATTGTACTGTAATTTCTATGAAAAAGTAATAGGTATATGTTAATTCTATAATATTTATGCGATTTCAATCATCCATCACCATTCACGAATTCATGCGCCATTTTCATTCATGTTTAAATTTAAGACAGTTGAATGTTTAAGTTTAATAATTATAATGCTGAGAACTTAAATCTTTAAAATCTAGGCCCACTTTACTCAAAACTCCATTCAAAAATTCATACTCAAAAATCTTCTATCCTTCGAACATTATATTTAATAAATAAAATTGAAACGCGTTTATCTCTTCACACTTGTAAATTGCAAGAATTGCATATACATTGACATAAATTAAGGTATTACGCAATAATCTTTCGCAATCGGTATAATTTTAATTTTATGTTTATTTATAAATACAAAAGTTGAAGGTTTTCGCAAGTTCTCGCAATATTTTTTTTTTTTTCCATTGTTACACATGATCATACTTAATGTGTATCAATCATAATAATCGCGACGAAAGTGTGGCGATAATTATATTATTAAAAACCAACAACTTTGGATCGCAAAGCCAATAGACACACAACTTCTTATCTAATATGTATCGTTTATGCAACAAAACTGTAGTATTCTCCTTGACTGTTTATAAAGTGACGATTTAATTGATATATCTGGGTATATTTCTCTTTAAAAAGAAAGTTTTCACTTCAGTCATTTATTAATAAAGTATGTTGACAATATTTATATATACTTGCTTATTAACTGATACTATTTTTTAGTAAAATAATATTGTGATAGCGTTCATTACAGTTGCGAAATAGATTAAAAAAGAAACGTTCATGTATCATAGTGTGAAAGTGAATAATGATTGTGTACCGAATAAGAGTTTTGATCCAGGAAAAATCTGTTATAAAATTTATAAAAAATTTTCATTCTGACACGGACCATTTGAAGAAATTTTTTTGCTATATCGTAAATTACTTTAACGCAATTCTATCAGTCATAAAAATAACAAGAGAGAAATACGAATATGTAATATTTCATAAATTTGTCGTCAGCGAATCAAATTATATTCACGAGTCCATATATTTGCGAAGAATTAATAAACTTTTCGTTCTATTTCTTTTTTTTTTCTTGCTCACAAGTTGCAAATCCAGAGAACTCTTTGCATTATAAGCCTGACGTTACTGTGTCATAATCTTAAAATCTTACACTCTAGAAATACACGAACGACTTAGTTAATTGTTATATATAACCAAAATATTCTGTTTTCTAATTTGTGTAAAGTATTTTTTAGATTCTTTAATTTTCTTATCATCATGTTCTTTAAGTCTTTCCCCGTCCCAGTGTTCCCCGGGTATAGTCCGATCACTGAATTATTTATTTACTTTATCCGATTCCCTTAATGCCCTCTTCGCTGGTGGTTCCTCGATCTAAAACACGAAAAATATAAAATATTATATTAAACGCTTTGTATTAAAGGATTTTTCGCAATCGAGAAGAGAACTTACCTCTTCTTCTAAACCAGGCAGTTGAATCCTGGTCTCTGATGCTTCCGCAGGCTGAAAATAAATTTATCTAAATACATGTTACATACACATTTTTCACACTTAAACACTATGATATTTATAGGAAAGGGAAATTTTTAGCAAGAGCACACAACGTTATTCTAATATTACGTTCAAGTTACCTGGGCATCGATACATTCCACTTCTCCAACTTGCAGCTTGAAATAACAATTATACGTACTCGAGTATTAAATTTGTGTGATGTTCTATCACAATTATTTTGTTACTTTAATTATTACCTTATTATAATTAACAGGAATATCTATTATTATTTGCATATACAGGGTGTTTTTAAAAGAACTAATTACAAAGTGCTATAATATAGCAGCGGCGCGCTCAAGCACACTACTAGATGCCCGGCTCGGGCTAAAAGACGGCGCTAATTGGATTAACTTTACTCAACAATCACTGTTTTATCAAGCATTATAAGAAAAATGGTTTAGGACTTCGCGATTTATTTTTTTTATAAAGCATAGTGCTAAGTAATTAGTGTTAAAAAATACCCTGTACATTCAGTTCAATTTAAACAAACTAAAAATATCCGAAAACAATCACAAACTTGTTTTAAAAAATCATCTTACCCTTGCATCTGTTTCATTAGGCCCAATGCCTACTTCCTTCTGTTGTTTGGATTTAGCCTTGCGCTGTGGTCTCTCATTAACCGTATGTGTATTGTGGAATGATCCCTTTCCTTTTGGATTCGTCATGTTCACTTGTAATTCCACAGGTAAGTAATTCTTCTGATTGTGCATTGTTTCGTCTGACCGTTTAAAATACATCGTAGGAATTCGCGTCTCACTCGGAAACTCCTTCATGTCGAAATTGGTAGTCTTGGTGTATATTACATTCATTGCCAAGTCACAAACAGCCCACAATTTCTGTACGTAACAAAAATTAAAATTAGTTCAATCGCGAATGATTATTTGGAATGAGCTGGACAAATCTTATTTATAATAATTACATAATTCATTTCGTTGTCCTCAGGTTTCAATGCATCTTTGTGAGTTTTCATACGTTCCACGAGATTTTTGTAGAATCCGTAGCAATAATATTCGTTCTTTGTGATGAGAGGCTCCAAGATGAACCAAAGACATTGTTGAATAACTTTCAATTGGCTCACCATCATATGACTCGTGAATTCGGGGTCATGCGCGAGAACAGGTACCGCGAAAACTAGCATGTAATCCGGCAAAATATGGGGCAATTGATCTGAGAAATTACAAAGTAACGAAATTTGTGGATTAATTTGACGAAATGGTATAAATACAACACTTAACAAAATTTGCCTTAACGACTGTGTCTTATTTAATCTCTTACCCATAGCTCGCTCAACAGTACCCAATGAAAGAGTTTTCACATAATCCCTCCTTTTATTTATGTCTGTCTGCATATATGTCTTCAATACACATTTTAATCTCTTATCTTGTTCCTTGCCAGCAAGAGCGTAATATCCCATGAAATCCAGTGGTAGACATTTGTTTGGAATTCCTCTTCCTAAACCTTTGTGTAGTTTACCACCAAAAGCTTCTCTGACTTGAGGGACCTCGTCCTAAGTACCAAGTTGATATATTGAGATAAATTATGACTGAAATTTATTTTTCATTATATTAAACGTAAGAACAGATTCACGCTGAACGTACCACCATGAGTTGCGAAAGATTATAAAATTGTTCTGCAGTGAATTGATCGCCGACGCCCTTCTGTTCGCATATCTTCAACATTGAACAACCCGCTTGCAATCGCAACCAACTCATTTCAGCTTTGCTCAAACGTCCCTGTGACAGCAAGTCACCTTTGTTCACCATGAAAGCATTCAGCATTCTGAACGTCTTTTGCGCTGACAATACGTCGGACTTTAATCCTAATAACCAACGAGCCATGCACTTCAAGCCTTCCAATCTGCATCGCGTCTCTTCGGGTAATTCATCCTCTTTGCACCAATCTCCCTCGATAGCTTCGGAGGTTTGCTCGCTGCTTTCCTTCACTAGTAATTCTTTAACTATCTGCAGAAGCAAAGATCATACCGTGTACAATAAAGTACTAAAATGCTTATTACAAGTGTTAACGTTATAACTGTTAACTTTATTGCACTTACTTTCCTGGACACCATATTTTTTATTTGTACTTGATATTTTTCTGGCAAATTATACGCTATGTGACCTAACGTGACTATAGACGTCCGATAATATTCCGACGTCGGCGTCAGCGTGTTTTTAATTCTCTCGATGATCTCGGGGAAGATGGTATCATGAATATTGGTCATGTTGACGAACAAACATCTCACAGCTTGTTTTGCCTGTTTCGGTGTTCCCGTCTCAGCGAAGTTCTTGCATATCGGTACCATAAGATTCATAATGTCCGGCGCCACGTCGCATAGAGGTTTATATTTTCCCAAGAACGTGAAGATAGAGAGAACTAACGGTGCTACCATCTCGTCCTCCAATTCAAGCAAATTGACCAATTGCATCAATATATCGTTATGCAGGAAATGCGGACCAAATACAAATGAAAGCATCTGAAATATTTCGGATAATGTACTTGTGCTCTTAGTTACAAAATTATCTCTGTTAATGTATAAAAAAATTTATATTACATTACATTCAAACATTTATTTTTAGGATACCGAATTGTCGACTTACCACTAATAGTCTTAATCCTTTCTCCCCAGCATTATTCGGATTAAGACCGATTTCGTCTATCACGTTACCTCCCTTTAAACAGTCTAAGACGTATCCGATCAAAACCTGATTTATACATATACATACATATTAAACGTTTCTTCATAAATAAAAAATAAAATAAAATAGACTCCGAAAGATAAGATACTTACTCGAATTGCCTCTTCGTCAATCATGACAGAGCTTACTCTTTCGAGCAGCATCTTAATTGTATTATAATATAAATTAGTCATAACGGGCTGTCCTAATTTTTTGAGAACCTTAGTGATTGTTTCAGCGCATTCCTTGCAGGAGACATTCGGTTGCACAATCGTTTCCATTTCCTGTAATAATCTGGCGTCTTTCTTCATATGAGAGCTAAATTTTTGAAGAAACTCCTGTACTTTCATGGGATCTGGCAGGAAGCGCGATATCTGATGAATCTTCGTCATTAGCTCATTTTTAGCGTCTGGTTTCTTCACAATGTCTATCCATTCAACTACTGCCCTTCGCACACTAAAAATGTAATAAACTAATTTATATTAAAAGACATCTTTGTGTAGTAACTTGTAAATTAAAACAATTAATGCATAACATACGCAAGTTGGTGCTTCTGAAGTTCCACAAATGCTTTAGAAGCATGATCATCAATTGTACCTAAAAGATGGTACAATTTTTTCATCCTCTCTTCAGCTTGCAACTGATAAGGTACTAGGCACGTATTTAGCAATCTCTCCACCAGCAATCTGTCTTCCATGCCTGCCATATAATAACCATGTAATATTTTATCTTTTATCCAAATAACCGCTTTCTTTGTTGCCTGCGGCACGTCGGCATCGTTCAAATGTTTCTTATATATCATAGCCAAGCCGGACATCGCCTCTTTCCGTATTTTAAACTGAAAAGATAATTATTAATAAACTCAAGCCATAAACGTAAGTATTAAATTTAAGTAGCTGTGTTAAATTTAATATTCTACCTTTTTGTCCAAAGTCCTTTCTTTGACAAATTCGAGCAAGTCCTCACTATCTGACACAACTTCGAAGTCCCGTCTGGCAGTTGTCACTATAGCCATAACGACTTCGTAGCGGACACTTTCATCGGCATCGTGTTGCCTCAGTTTCAAGGTATCCGTGATATCCTTCCTCAATTCAGGATGATTTAGCAAGAAGTGCATTGAATACTGCACACACTTATTACGAATCGACACGCTGATATCGTTGAATCGTCCCAAAAACGCCCGCCATAATTGTGTATGCTGTACGGCTAATTGTGAGCCCTTTTCGGAGAACATTCTAGCAAGCAATGCTACAGCGCCCAATCTCTCATTCTCAGATGAGGATTTTAATTTACATTCTAGTTGCGGAAGGACGGACAGCAAGACACTCGGACATATGTGATTCAACTCATAGATCAGATCATATACCTTCTTGCAAATTTGTAAACTCTTCTCCTCCTTACCCAGTATTAAGACATGATTGAAAAACTGTAAAACATTACAAAGTTTTAGTATTGTATAAATGTCTCTAAGAAAATCGGCACATTTGTTTCTTGGCAGAAACACTCTCATTACTTACCGCTTGAATGTATGGTTCTAATGTATCGCTACATTTGATTACCAACTCTTTAGCCAGCAAATATGCATTCTTCTTTTGCGTCTTGTTTGGTTCTACAATATTCATAAGTATGATATCCAGAAGTTCGTTACTGACAATGTCAGATTCGGTAATAAGTGGGCATAAAACATCCAGCATGAAGCTTTTAACTTTACCAGAATGCTCGTCACTAAAAATACGTTGTATTAATCGCATCACATTGCAGAAATCTTAACAATCTGTTTTTTCTTTTTTATCTTCGGGTATACTCACTTCACAATTCTGAACATGAGGGAAAATAATGCGCAGAAAATCTCTTGGCAATCCTCTAGCTCAAAGCACATGTTGAAAGATTTGACATAAGCTAAATTCTCAAGTAGATAAAAGTACCTCTTAAAAGCAGGATCTTTAGGATCTTTTAAACCTGCCAGTTGTTTAATAAGGAACAGGAATATCGTTTTGACCTAAAGTCATATTAGAAACAGCAATGATAAACTGCTTAGTTCGATATAAGTCCATGATTAATTCATGTGAATGATTAATGGATCCTTCAATAAATTATTACAATTATAACTGGAATATTTACCTGATCGGCATCTTTATAAGGAGCCTCTGGTGCGTAAACTCTTAAAACATCCGCGATGCAGCAAGCAATCAGTAATTGTACATCTTTGCTCTGATGCATTAAAAAGTGCTCTTCCGCCAAATGTAATGCCAGTGGTATGTATTGCTGATACATTCCCTCATCTTGTCCCATAGCTTGCAACGTGTGCGCTAGTGTCTACATAATTGTTACATCTTAATATCGTGTCTTACATAATAAATGTATTGTTTGTCACAGCGGTAAGATATGTCTTCCTAAGTATACCTTGAGTCTTCTGATCAGCTCATCCGGACCTAAATCTTCGGTGACTGATCTGCACCCTTGCGGGTATATTATTTCAGACATGGTGGCTACTTAGTAAACCAACCAAATGTAACCAAGCACTTTATCTTTAATGTATTCTAGAACACGGTCCAAATTCTGTAATGTGATATTTATCTATGTATAAAGATCTATAAGACATAGTTTGAGTTGAAAGGGATTTACAATACAGAGAACACGATTTTGATATCTTCAACAATTTGTTTGATTTGTTCACAAGGTCTATGTTAACTAATATGTCACTGATATCTTATCTCACATATACGCTATGTTTAACAGTACAATCTCGTTTTTCAGAAAATACAACAAACGGGTAATGTTCAAAAGAGAAATAAGCCTTTAATCTATATAGATTTATATGAAACTATGAGATTCTTACAGGATACTTTAAATTGTGCTTTCTATAGGTCGGTTTAGAAGAATTTACACAACATATTTATAATATACTCTAAAAATCTCACGTAATATAAAGCTCAATGTTAATGTTTAAGGTACAACGCTGGCAATATCATATTTTAAAAAGAAGATTGTCGATGTAAATCACATTCTAATATATTTCAAGACAAAAGTGTCAATGCGATAACGATCTGAACACTAGATTAGGTGACGATCAATGAAAACTGGGGAACCCTTTTTACACGGGTGGTTTGGCAACATATTTCACGAGGGACGCCAGGACGGAGATTCACCTCGGTTCACGAAACAGTCGGGTGGAACGTGAGCGGGACAAAATACCGTGTTACTCGACGTCGTATCGGTAAGCTGACGGGCGTACTGATTATCGGAGCAACGGACAACCGTCGGAGGCCGTCGGTTTCGAGGTTATGTGCGCTCGCCGTGCACGTATACAAGCCACGACGTAAACAAGATTCTCGCGTAACGGGGACCCGCGCGAGGTGTGCTGGCCGAGGCCGGGGAACGCCGTGGCGGGAAAAGGGGAATGAGCGACGGCGACGCGTGGTCGTGCGTTACCTGGAGATATGCATAGGCGCCGCAGGGCCTGTGACACTGAAACTATCGATAAAGCAAATTATATCCCGACGACGGGCCGCCCGCGCCGCGCGGTGGAATCGCCTCTTTCACGGGGCCGCAGCACTCGCCACGGTCTTTACGCACACAAGCCGCGGCTTTTTCCGAACCGCCCTGGTTCTTAACTAAGTGCGTGCGTACCGCCCGCGACGTGATCCGCGCGACTTTCCGTAGACACTTGGCATGGTCGGCAGGACCGCGGCGTCGGTGGAGAAAGGAAAAACGGTGGCGAGGACTCTCTTCTCGTTCCAGTACGCGGAAGCGTGCCGAGGGACGCGACAGCGCAATTCGATCGCCTGAAGTTCGCCGCGACCACGACGGCGCGATGCGATCAGCGATGCGTCGCTCTACTCGCTACATCACCGGCCCGCCTCGCCCCGCGTTCCCATTGGGTGCGTTCAGCAGAACAAACCGCTCAGTAGCAATCGAACGTGATTGGCTCTTACTTTTAAAACCGACCAATCAACGCAGATTGTTGATAAGACGAGACTCAACAGTTGTGTCTGCTGAACGCGCCCATTGGTGGACGGCGCGGCGGACGCGCCGAGCCGCGCGGCGCGAAGTTGCCGCCGCACGGCGCGCGATTTATCTCGAAGCTCGCAAGGTCCCGAGAGGCCCGGCCGCCCGGCCCGACGTCGCCGCGTTTTCACCGAACCGCGACGCCGTTCACGCTTGACCCGCGGCGGCCAATCAACGTCGTTTCTTCTCCTCTTCCCCCGCCGTGACGCGACGCGCGCGCGGCGACGAATCGCCGCCCGCGGACGCCGATTCCGTTCGAAAAATCGCCACGTCTCCCAATCGTGCTTCGAGTGTTCGAGTCGACGTTTAATTATTGGAAAACACGATACGCTTTATCCGTTTAAATTAGTTTAGTTACTTAGCTCTTTGGTTTAAATTAATCAAGTACAAAATGCGCAAGAATTATTACCCGATACGGGCTCTTCTTTCCCTCATAGCCAACAATCCGACCCTTTGAATTTTTCCACTACTCTCCTCGCGGTCCTCGCTCCATTTCCCCACCGTTCCCCGTCCGAAAACTCGTCGGCGATATAAACAGTATAACCTCCGCGGGTACATTCTGAGATGATCCGTAAAAATCAGTAGAGATGTCAACGCAGCAGCGACCGTCGACCGCGGTTTTCCATCCTGCGACGTAAAATTCTTCCCAGGTCACGTTAGGTACCGGCAATAATTCTCGGACATAGCTATGGAACTCGTGCGGAGTCTCGTCGGCCGCAACCTGAGACGAACGCTTCTGAAGGCGCCCGCGACACGCCTGCAACACGTGCGATGCATCAGGTACGCACGAAGTGAACGAAATTGTGGATTGTTAAACGCTTCGAGTAATCTCACGTTACAACCAAGTAGCTATTGACGTAGAAAGACCTACATTTTTGAGTGAGGATCCACTACGATGCTGATTATTGCAGATCTGTTTTTCCTTATCCTGTTTATGCACATTATAGTATTAGAAAAGAGAGAAGCAAAGGGGATTGTTACCATCTGTCAATTCAAATAATTTGCGTTGTTGAAACGTAAAGTATCTGTATTATTTATATTATATCTGTATTAAGCTTTAAGGAACCAAACTTGGGATCAAACAAGGAATATATGAACATGAACAAATAAAACAAATGCAGTAAATAAGGACTGCATTAATGAATATTCCTTATCAGTATACTAAAGAAAAAAATAATTTATTATGTTTGTGCGATTGTTCATTCTTGCTACCTAGTTTGAATTTAGATATATCCTTATGAATTATGTAATTTGTTATAATCTGCTACGTTATGAATTAAATATGTGTGATAGAAATATTTGTATGTATATATATATATATATATAAAATTATGTAACAATGTTTGCAATAAATATATTTGCAGATTGGCGGAAGTCGGCAAACTGGAGACGCCAAAGTTACAAGGGAAATATGACACGGGTCAATTAATTTTACACAGAGTCTTCGGTTACCGTGGTGTGATTTTATTTCCATGGCTGGCAAGAGTGTACGACAGAGATATATCTACTAAGAAGGATGAGTATGTATAGTTATTTACAATTATACAGATAAATATATCTGCTTATTTCATATTTAAATATCATACGGATAATCTGTGTATTTAATTACAGAAAAGATAACAGCAATTTTAACAGTGTTGGCGAGAAAGAAGTGAAAGGCAGGACGCACACGTTTTATCAAGTTTTGATTGATCAACGTGATTGTCCTTACATAGTAAGCATCATTCAGAACGTTGTTACAGTGATTAACACTCGGCGTAACATTTATATGCTTGCAGCGTGCTCAAACCGAGGCAGTTACTTTCCTGGGCAATCATGAGAGCAGTCGCAGCCTGTACGCTATTCCAGGATTGGATTATGTCGCTCACGAGGACGTATTGCCGTACAGCACGAACGAGAAAGCGGCGCTGCAGCACGAGCTGTTCGATAAGTTTCTGACCTATCATCCAGATAAGGAGCCGTGCTTCGTGGCACAGGAGACTCTTCGCACGTGGCAGAAAAAGAATCATCCGTGGCTCGAATTGTCGGACGTACATAAGGAAACGACCGAGAATATTCGCATTACCGTTATACCATTTTACATGGGCTGCAGAGAGAGTCAAACCACCTCTGTATATTGGGTGAGTTCGGTAACAAAGTCAAATGTTTCATTCAATTTGGAAAAGAGACCGAGGTTGAATTAAACGAATTAATTCTTCGTTATATCTTTTCTAGTGGCGTTATTGCATCCGACTAGAAAACTTGGGTGAGCTGAGCGTGCAGTTGCGTGAAAGACATTGGAGAATATTCAGCCTGTCGGGTACGTTGGAAACCGTCAGAGGAAGAGGCGTAGTGGGTCAGGAACCAGTGTTATCGAAAGCTTTACCGGCTTTTCAATACAGTAGTCATGTGAGCTTGCAAGCTCCTAGCGGCCACATGTGGTAAGCACGCGTACTTAGATTCTCGTCAACGAGAAAAGGTATCATTTACTGTAATTGTTTCCTCAACAACTCTGTTTTTCAGGGGAACGTTCAGGATGGAAAGAGAAGATGGATATGCGTTCGATTGTAGAATACCACCGTTCTCCTTGGAATCGAAAGCGGAGCCATCCACCCCTACCGTAGAAATCTGATTCTTCAAAAGAGGAACGGATCGATAATTATAAGCGATGATTAGTTAGATAAATATATAACAATTATTAGGTGACGATAATATATAGTTTCAAGTACAATCAATATTGATCTAAGCGTGAGTCTTGTGATAACTTTTTGAAACTAATTTCACAGACGGTTTCAATAAAATTATACTGTACATATTTCGCCCCGAAAACCTGTTACAATCTCCGCGTAAAAGAAAAGTAAAAGGATATCCTCTAATTACCCATTTTCTAACGTCTAATTTTAATAAAATTGATTATGTATGTAAAGAGAAAACTAACTCTAAATATAACGAATATGTAAATACAGAGAAAAGATACTCGGTACGCAATTTTTGCAATTTTATTGTGTAAAATCACTTTTGCTTTAAAAGATGAAAAACTTTATAATGCCAAGTAAATAATTAAAAAATAAAAAAGACATCGGGAAACTTAAAAACGATGAAATGTGCGGAAAAAATTGTCCAGATCCATATATTTTATATAATTTTATCGCGCTTCTGAAATGTTTATTTATCCCACGAAGTGTGCCGGTCCGGGGAGGCCGCGCCAGTTTTCCGGGGAAAGTCTTTGTGTAACCATTCGAAAAGATCCTCCGGAACGGAAAATCCCACAGATCGCGCATTTTCGGCCGCCCAATGCGGATGCACAAAGGAGAGGAAGCGAGATAGAGCGACGGTGGATCTTGCTTTGTCTATCGATCACGGGATAAAAGCGAGGTGCGCCGTTTCCATAAACGCTGCAGGCCTTCTGAACGCAGTTGGAGTGTTGGAGCACTTGGAGCGCAGCGCGATCGCGGACTTCTCGGCTGTTCTTGGCGTCGCCTGGGTTTGCTCGAGCTCGCTCGTATCCGTTACGATGGTTGTTTGTAAGTTGCACATGTACATGTTATTTAGATCGAGGAAGTACCTCGATCCGCGACGAGAATGGAACGGAAAGCGCCCTTTTCGGGGAATAGCGCGAAAAGGGGCCTCGGATTAGACGCGCGAATCGATACGCGGGAATGTAACTGACCAGCCTTAACCTTTCCGAATATGCCCGATTTTTTTTGCCTCTCGGTGCAAGCCACACCCTCGGGCGCTATTAATAATCTTCAAAATCGGCATCCCGCGAACCCCCTCCGCTCCGTCGTTATCGGATCGCGCGAACGTCCGCGCGTATCTTCATCTCGAACAAATATTTACCGACGCGACGATGATAGTGCGTTTTTTCTCACAACACGCGGTTGACAATTGTAATTGAGATCGAGGCTGATAAGCTGTACGGAATTTTAACTAAATGTTTCTTCTCTCTTTTGAACAGGTCCACTAACTCCCGAGGTTCTTGATCAGCTGCGTGCAAAGTTTTACGCCGACAGCCGCAATGTGTTGGCGCAGAATGTCTGCACGAAGACGAATCCCATCGAGGCGTGCGCCTCGAGGAAGATCCTGGAGGAGACCCAACACGTCTTCACCCATAAGATCGAGACCGAGGGCAAGCCTGTGACCAACCAAAAGAACTCGGGAAGGTGCTGGCTGTTTGCCATCCTAAACGTCATGAGAACCAGCTTCATGAAGCAATATAATCTAGATGAGTTTGAGTTCAGCCAGGCTTACCTGTTCTTCTGGGATAAGGTCTGTACATGCCATTTTTTGGGCAACGTTGCGGCATCCCGCCTCGCCTTTAAGCCTACTGCTACAATAGCCGTAAGATATAAACAGTAGAAAATTGACCAACCACAATTGATTGTATTTGAACTGTAAAAATCCTGGTCCATAGCTTTACTTAGCTAATCCTGGTCTTATGTCTTACTGCATAATGTTACGGCTATTTTAGACAAGCCTTTACATAGACTCGGATTACAGCCAGCTATGTTTCTCTTGTAGGTAGAACGTTGCAATTATTTCCTGCATAACATCGTGAACACTGCGAAACGCGGCGAGCCAGTCGAGGGCCGTTTGGTTAACTTCCTGTTAACCGACCCCACCTGCGACGGTGGCCAGTGGGACATGATCGTCAACCTGATAACCAGACACGGTGTCGTGCCGAAAACGTGTTTCCCAGAGTCGTACAGCTGCGAGTCCAGCGTACGCATGAACAGCCTGCTGAAGAGCAAACTGAGGGAGTACGCCAAGGCTCTGCGAGATATGATCGATAATGGCGCGTCTGACGACGAGCTGAAGACGCGAATAAGCGAGCAAATGACGGTGATCTACCGGATAATCGGTATCTGTTTGGGTGTACCGTCTGAGAAGGTTACATGGGAATACTACGACAAGTCGAAGAATTACAATTGCGTGGGCCCGATCACGCCACTGGAGTTTTACGAGAACTACGTGAAACCTCATTACAACGTGAACGATAAAGTATGCCTGGTAACCGATCCACGACCGGGTAATCCTTATGGGAAGCTCTATACCGTGGATTGCCTGGGAAACGTCGTGAGTGGAAAAACTACCCGGTACAACAATCAGCCGGTGGAATTGCTGATGAAACTGTGTGCCGAGAGTATTAAAGATAACGAGCCTGTTTGGTTCGGTTGCGACGTTAACAAAAGATTAATAGATAAGCACGGTATCCACGATATAAAAGCTTACAACTTTGAGCTGATGTTCGGCACCGACATTCACGTCGGACTTTCCAAGGCCGATAGACTGCTCTATGGGGACTCTATGATGGTGCATGCGATGGCATTTACGGCCGTTTCAATAGATGTGAGCACTTTCAAATATTGTTCTATATCGAACGCATAAGATAATTCGAGCGATATTTGTTAATGATATATCTAACATATGAATGCTATTCTGTTTCAGCGCGAGGGTAAGATAAAGAAGTTCCGGATAGAGAATTCGTGGGGCGAGGATCACGGGCAGAAGGGCTACCAGGTCGTGAGCACCGAATGGTTCGCCGATTTCGTCTTTGAAGCGGTCGTGGATAAGAAATACGTACCCGCGGACGTGATGGCTGTTTTCAATCAGGAACCCGTCGTTTTACCTGCCTGGGACCCCATGGGCACGCTCGCTCATTGATGTTAAAGTGATTTAACTAAATGCAATGGCAAGCCATTTTATTTCACCAGGAGGATTTCAACCCATAACACGAGAAAACAAAGTATTTGATAAAAATTCCGGGGGCAGTGATTGTACAAAATATACCAATATTTTATACCTTATACAAGAGAATGCAGCAGTATTGATAAGTGGCTTTGTCGTTCATATGAATTGTATAAGTCCGTTTCGTTTATTACAGTATACGAGGGTTTAGTTCAATCATCAAGACTGAATGTATGAGTTACCATATTTGAAATCACGAAATATCGTCGTTTTACGCGTGCGTATAAAAAAATACCGCAGTTTCCGTGCAACGTATCAGTGAAAACAGAGAGGAGTGTTACGTCGCATACTTTATCTTAGTAGGCAATAATGTATCGGTCTTAAACGTAATTTACCGCTATGATTAACCAAATGGTTGTATCAATACTTCGTTTTTAACACGTGCGACAAACTACATCTCATACAAACAAAAATAAATAGACTGCAAACAAATTTCCTGTCGTATTGCATAACCTGCGATTTAATGAATTTTTATTATTCAAGAGCAGCAATTTACTGTACGATATAGCGCGCGTAGAGGCGCTCGTATTTCTGTGCATGTTAATTTTAAAATTTGCACACATGTACACATTACAAAATGAAGTAATAGAGAGATGGTATATATAGATAGATATGTAAATTTTAATAAAGACTTGCCGATATGATTAAAAAATTTTGCTCAACAAGTCGTCTTAACTTCATTGCCTACGGTTTCTCGCTCGATGTGGGTACGTAAAAGATGGTGTTAAAGAAACTTTGGAACCAATGTATGCTTGTAAAATAATGTATTATCAATATGCTTGCAAAAACGCGGAAAGTAAATTTCCTAAACCTCGGAGGATATACTCAAAGTTTTCAAGGACTTCTTTTGTTGTCTGTATTGCTTGTAACTGTATCGCAATTTGGCCCATACACCCTGACACATGTTTTGGAGGCGAACGTCCTTTTTCTTAATTGCAAATTTATAAATTTTTCGTATCATGTACTTTGGAGTGGTAAAGTTGCCTCGTTGAATGAAGCTTAGGGCAGCGTACAATTCGCAACGGGCAACAAGGAGAGGATTGTCAAGGCGCAACGCCAACTCGAACTGCTTCACCGAGATTTTCCCTGCCATTTTAGCCTGCGTACAAAATACGTCGGATTAACGAAAAGCACGTTATACATAATTCGATGAAAAAGCTAGGCCCGCTTACTTACACAGTGTTCAAATTCTTCTCCCAATGCGGAAAACGCTCCTCCAAGCGTGGACAGCCAAGACATAGCGTGATCAGCTTCTTGCCTCTCTACAACCATTTGCATTAATTTTTCGCTCCTAAGAAAGGATAAATGTGAAAGACCGTAACGGTTAAAACCATATTGTAAAATCACCGCAAATCACTTGCCATTTGTAATCCAGGAATTGCTTCCTCGGTGTTCTCAATCTTATAAATATCTTCTGCGAATGTTCTATATCGTACGGCCTGTCGCACGCCGTCTGAAAATGTTTCAACACCCTCGTAGCGTTCTTACGGTAGACGTATGACTTCGACAGCATCGCGACATAGGCTGAGACGAGGTAGGAATTGAATCCTTTCCGGTACAGACAGACTCGTGTGAATTTACACATACAGCTATCATCGTCGTGCGGAAGCGAGGTGAGCCGTTGACCGCGTTCATCGTACCTAGATACACCGTGCAATTTGACAGTGACATTGTCGTAAACCATGCGGTCTCTATATACAATAAGCTGCACACGATGATTCATCTCTTGTCTTAATTTACGAAATTCTATGATATTTTGCAGCATCGCACTGGGCATATTCCTCATGACACTGACGTCCATTTAACCGAGCTCATCGACGTAGGTGAAACTGGAGCTTTGCGACTAATTACAAACTCTCAGTCCGAGGATCATCCAAGATCGAACTTCGCAAACAAATTTGAACTCGTACGTCCAAATTCCATTGGCAATTATTCAGATCGTTCTCCAATGCGTCCATGACGCGTGTCACGCGTGAGCGTGATACACATCTATCGGCGGCATCGCGGCATCGACGAGGGGGATCGTTCGCGAATGTTGGCGATAATTTGATGCAAATTTCCCTAGGTCAGCTGTTAAGGTCTGTTCTCTATTTAGCTGAACTTCTTGCACGGTTCATCTTTTCTCTTTTTCTCTCCAATGTGACAAGAAAGAGAGGAAAGGTGAACCGTACAAGAAGTTCAGCCGAAAAGAACAGCATCATGCTCGATCAGCTCGATTAGGGTTCCTAAGCTCGATGAAACCAGAACGCTCTGGCATAACCCCAAAACGTAATCTGTATATTTTGTATCGCGAAGCGTGGCGATATCTCTGAAATCTCGAAGGTATTGTTAATCCGGCTAATAAATTGATAAACAAAAAGCGTGATCCGAAGAGAAGACGAGGATTCAACGAAGGAGACAGGAGGGCATCTATTGCCCCAGGGTGCGTCACTCGCGACAAGGTTATGTGATTACGCGCGATTAATTCAACAATCGGGATGCTGAAAACGCTCAGACTTGGTCACAGGCTCTGCCGGGTGCGTCGCGGAGGATCCACGGATCTCGCGGCGCGAGTGCAGAGGAGGCTGTTCCTGTCGGAGGCGTATCGCTGCGAGGAGGCGTGGAGTCGCAGGCTGGAGTCGCCGCTGTTGCGGAGGATCGACCCGACGACGATTTACGTCCAGCTGGAGCAGAAGTACGGCAGCGTCGGCAAGGTGAGCGCCGTCGACGTCGACATCTTCGTCAACAGCGTCACCGACGACCTGTACGTCGACGAGGTGATGAAGATTCTGAACAATCTCAGGCAATCCGTGGAGACGACGAATATACTCGACTCGACGCACCACGCCGTGATGCGGTACTTCTTGCGGCACGATCACGTCCAGGAGCTGCACGAGGTGCTGAACGACAGGCTCAATTACGGCATATTCCCCGATTACTTTGACTACAACATACTCATGGACTACTTCATAAAGAGGAAGGATTATGCCTCTGCTGCCAAGGTGGCAAGCTTGGTCATGTTGCAGGAAGACGCGGATCATCCCATCACCAATGCTTTGTGCTTGTACGCGTGTCACAGATACCTGGAAAATCCTGACGATTGGAAGAAACCTGAGGTTCCGGTGGACACCACCACAGAGGAGGTGAAGATACGCGTAAAATATCTAAGAAATCCATACTTCGACGATCATTTCGATCTCACCGATCCGAGAGATCTCGTCGGCAAGACGCTGAACTTTCTGGGGAAGCATAGGGCAGACGCTATAGGGAGAACTTGCCAATTAAGGGGCTTAATATTGTATAAAAAGTATGACGATGTATTGAACTTAATGAAGAAATGGTTAGAGACGATGCAAGACAAGATAGTTTATGAAGAAGTATTCGAATTGATATCGAAAGACAACAGTGGACTTGAAGATCAAGATGCTGAAAGGTTCAAACTTGTAGAAGCTCAATTGTCCGTGTTGAAGGAGAAACAAAATCTTAAAGAAAGTTTCATCGAAGCAGTAGAAAGCCTTATTAAAGCAGCCGTAAACGAGGAAGCTGAAAAAGATATATCTAAACAATGTCAGGTAATGAATATTAATCAAAGAATTGCTTTGAATCTTAATTACTCAATGCTTGTAATGAATTATAAAATTGCCAAATATATTCTGAAATTTCAGGCTTATCTCGATTGGGAGCGTGAAAGAACTTCAGTATTAGAAGCGCAGATGAAAGCAATAGAGAGAGAAAGAAGAATTAGTAATATAAAGAAGATGAAGAAGGATTTGAAACAGAGAGAACAATTTTTGACATTCTTCGATAAGGAGGAAGAAATCGAATTGCAAATAGAGAAGATACAGGAAAAGGAACGCAAAGAAGATGAACGTATCCGTGCTATACCCAACAGTGAAAAGAAATTAAGAAACTTAGTTACTATAGAGTCCTACATACCGCCGGACATTAAAAGTAAGAGATGAAGTGTACTATATAAAATAAAGAGGTAGAGTTACGTATATATAGAGGACCAGAACAAAAAGAAGTCAACGGAACTGTTATCTTATTATAATTTGATATTATATGTATCTCTCACATATATTTGTGAAAATAATTTTCAAGGAGAGTATGTATAAATTATTAAACGTTGATTTTACCATTATTCGTACACATTCTATATTTTGTACATGTTTTTTTGTTCGAAAGTTTTAGCAGTTATTTTATTTACAGCCGTAAGTCAGATCTTCAAGTTGTGAGAAATACGAAAGTTGAACTCGATGCTAAAAAATTATTAGGCTTTATAACAAATAATGTCTCTTTGAGCATCGATATTAATAGGGTGTCTTTATTATACACTTGGCCAGAGGCTAACAGAAGCCTAATGCCTGACGACTCCAGGCCAAGGCACGTTCTTTTAGCAGACAACTTAGTAGATTCGTGGAGATCCTCACCGGCAATATCGCATTATATTTTGCCAGTTGCGCAGCTAAAAAATGTTTGGTCTTTGATGCATTCGATTGTATTCGTTTATATTCTGTAAAACAGCAAAATGGGTCTATGATTTTATGTAATCCTATAGAAAATTTTAAATTATGTCCTAATATTTTTAATTGTACATGATTATCGTGAAAAATGAATTTCGTACCTGTACTAGATTCCCATCTGGTCCTGAATATTACAATTTGCAAAATGGCGCAACACTGTACATAACAATCACGAGGCTTTAGTCTGGAGTTGCGCGGTTAACGCGGCGGTTTCTTGCTTCATCTGTTTCAAATCGGCAGTTATCCTTTCCAAATTAGCACCGACATTCTTCGCTGATTCAGAGTCGATCTGAATAAATGTTAGATTGAATACTGATTTTCTCTGCGCTACATAAATCTACTTTTTTTTATCTTCTGCTGTTATTCGACATCTTACCTGTTCTTCCAAATCTCTAATCTCCCGTATTGTCGCGCCCGTTTCCTCGACTAAACTCACGAGTTCATTGCAGTCCGAGTGTAACGTCGCCAATAATTTGTAAGCTTTCCGCGAAGCCTCGTTTGTTCTCGCGTCTCTGAATATCAGTTCATCTACGACAGTAAAGGATCTCTCCAATCTCCCGGTAAGCGTATTGATTTCCTTTTGAATCTCACGAGTATCCGCCAGAACTTTGCTTATTTCATCCCTCTGTTTCCTGACGTTATTTATTATTTCTAAAATTCGTTGAGTGTATGCAGATCTATTCACTTCTTTCGGAAGTTTCTGAACTTCCGCGACCAACTGTGAATACTGTTGATCCTTATTCCGACATTCCTCCTGAAGTTCTTTCTCCCTTTCTTTTAACAATTTGATCTCGTCCAGCTTCTTTTGGCTCGCATTCTATGTAAAAATGTAATCGTTTGTAAAAGTTATATATTTTATGCTATTTACATAGCACCTTCTTGTTACTCTAAAACTTATTTACTTACTGCTTTTGTGGAATGCTTTTCCCGTTCTTGCCTATACTTCATGATTAAGGGCACTCTATGCTTTTCCCACTGATTTGCTAAATTAATCAATTTGCTCGTACTAGCCTCAATTGCAGATTCCAATTTTTTTATATTCTCAGGTCCATCTTGAAGCAATTCGTATGCTTTTGCTTTGATCTTTTTTTGTTCCTCACTGATTTTTAATTCCTTCTCTTCGTTCTGATTAGTTATCGTCGCTTGGGCTAATCTAGTGGTCAATTTTTTAATTTCGTTTTGTAATTCTTCTATATTTATTCTAATATTCTCGCATTCCGTTTTCATCTTTTCTGTTTCAACTTCCTGCTTTGCCTCATTTCTTAATGTTTCTTCATCTGGAAGCACTGGATGCATCATGGATTCTGGTTTCATTTGAGATTCCTGAAAGTTTAACAATCGTTTCAAATATGTAAAATATATAATATTCTGCTATATAATATAGCGACTATTCGCTTTATTAGAGAAAAATGTAATATGTATAAGATGTATCTCTTGCACGCTTACTGTTGAAGTTTGCGTCTTGTTCTCTGACGAGAACTTGCTAAACTCTTTGACAATATTATGTGCATTAGAATAAGCAGTTTTTTCAGGCTGTTGGCTATTGAGCCAATTTATGCGCTCCATAATATCTATCGAAGAAGCATTAAGCGCTCTCGCGTTATGCGATATCATTGAAGGTAAAAAGCATGAAATGTCTTGCATTTGTTCAGGCACTGATTGTAAATAGCGCATACAGTAGTCTTTGTAATCTGCAATAATAACGATATACTGGTTTCGTGCATCAACTATTCGTTATTTGACACTCTGACAAAACTAATTCAATTTTTATTAATATATATTACAACTTATGTTCATATTACCATCCTCCACGTTTGCTATTGGTACTTGGATATTTACAGACGCGTAGGGGACACTCGCTCTTCCTCTGTTCCTGAACCCTTTTTTGTGACAGTAATACGGTAACCATGGTACAGAGAGTCCTTGGGATATCGCGGACGCTACCGATTTCTCTAATAAAGCGACTTTACTGATGGACTCGTTTACAGTTTTTTCACTCTCCTTTGGCAGTTTTTCGATGAGAAACATGAATACCCTCCGCAGATCTGCTTCTGAGTTGTACAGGAACGTCTGGTAGCCGATGTCACCTCTGTACCCGAGTTCCTGTAATTACAATCGACCGATGGAAATCAGCAAAATCAAATGGCTACGTTCCAGAGTCTGTAAAAAAGACAAGAGATATTTACCGTGCACGTTTGTGCGAGAGTAGCGCCCAGTCGAAAGCGCGCTGCCATGTTCACGGGTAGTACAGTGGACAGGCCTAGACCCGGCCTTATTGCTTCTAAGCATCTTACAGTAGCTTCCACAACTAATTCGGTGTTGAAGCCACTTAGATTCGTTACGTTCTCTTCAATGTCACTGAAAAGGAACATTCGCTTGTAATAAGGAAGAAGCCGAGAGAGACGCAGGAGTCAGCCTGTGGCATCTTCTGGAATTCCTCCAAGGCAGGAAGACAGAAGATATAGCTTTCGTTCGTTATTTTTAGGTCCTTTCGCGTCATGTCCATATTTTTCAACGTATCAACGTTTGACAGTCCTCGCCCGTTTCGACGCCGACGCGACGGCGACGTCGCGAGGAGACAATCGTGCGGATGAGCTCACGTGCGCGACGATCGCGATCGCGAAGAAGAGATCGCTGAAACACCGCCCACCTTATCGCCACCCCGTGAAGAAAAAAACCTATAGCAACGAGAGCCGATCGGAATCGCCGGAGCCCGGGCACCACTTACCAGCCTATTTGTCGCAACGAGTGAATTATTATATTGTCGATCTCCTCCATCCTCTATGTAGTCTATGTAAAAAGATGAAAGTCCTGAGGCGCCGCTACCACCCCGTCGTATCGCGTGTTTATGAGGTCCGGCTCTTAATCATCGGGATCTAACGTCTAACCTTCCGGGCCGGAGCGCTCGCGGAACACTGGCGGCCACGCGCATGTGTGGCATGTGTGCACGGGTGTGCGTACGTATATATGTATGTATGTACACATGTAAATACATATATATATGTGTAGAGTGGGCACTGCAGACAAATATAAAGGGGGAAAAAAACTGCCTGCGTATAGTGCGTATAAAGCGTATATATAACATTACACGATAAAAAATTGTATAAGGGGATTTCTATTTGTGTAGACATTTTTAACATACATATGTTATTTTGACTTTTCTGCGTTAAGTTAATATATATTCGACGTTTCTAAAAATTAAAATAACACAATTTATATGTCAAATGTAAATGCACGAATTCTTGGGTGACATATCATTTTTATATAAATTTAATTTTTTAAACTATAACAATTTATGTATCGTTATTGTAATAATAAAACAAAATTTAATTCAATAATTTTTTTCCGGCACTAGATTAAAATGCACATTAAAATCATAAAAGTATGTAAAATAAAAAATTTCATTTTTTGCGTTATTTTTTAAATATGGAACTGTTTTGCAGAAAAAAAACGTAAATATAAAAACCTACGATTTTCCATTTAATGACTTTTGAGGAAGCAGAGGATTCGTCATAGCTATAACGGCCCATATTCTGAATTCTCTTTTATCTATAAAATTACCTTTAAAAGTGGCTTGCAGCCAATTAGAAAGCTTGTAAGCCACTTTTAGAGACCCTTTTATCAATAAAAAAGAGTTCGGAATATGGCCCTATATATCTTTTTAAATTCAAATTAATCTTTCGTTCGAAATCTTTGCTCGCATAACATATACATACAAACGAAATACTTGTGATAAGCATGAGTTAAGCTTTATAATAACATATTAAATTAACATGTTTGTAATAACATTAATTTCGACTTTAGCGTAAAGTTTAAATAGCTAAAACTATCGCTATAAAATATAATTTAAGAAACATCGTTTTTTTTAATTGAAGAAGATAGAGTCCCACAAAGCATATATGTATATGCTAAGGGTGCGAACCCCTTGGCACTTCAAACGTTCTTGGAAAACATTTTTTTTCTTGTTGTTCATCAAATGTTAAACAAGAGCAAAATGATGCTCTGAAGCGTTTGAAGCGTCTATAGTGGATCGCACCCTCAGACTGTCACTTGTCGCCACTTGTCGGTGCTGTCAGTGTTTTCGCAGATAAATTTTCAAAGATTTCCGCTCCCAAATCAAATCGCGCGCTAAATCTCACCGCGGCGCTGAAGCTATGGCGGAGCGCGTCGACGCGGCGCGCACGACGCGCGGCCAACTTCAAGCGTCGCCGCGAGAGATCAATTATTCGCGGCTATTCGTTCCGCACCGCACACCGTACCGCACCGCTCCCGCGCGCGCCGCTGCTCCGTATTCCGTCCCGTTCCGCTTCGCTCCGCGGTGGCGCAGAGCGCACAGTGTGAGGAGTCGTTCCGTGCGCGTCGCGTCATACGCAGCGCGCTCGCTCAGCTGTTGTCTCGGCTCGCTCCAAGTGAAGTGACAGTACCGCGTCGGTGGTGCGCGATGTGGAAATCAATTTCGTGAAGGCGGCGGCGGCGGCGGTCGAGGTGGCCCGCGCGAGGTGAGCGGCAGCGCGTTGCAACTGCTGCTGCTGCTGCTGCTGTTTGGCTACAAATCCGCGTCGGGAAAGATGAACGGGAGTCTGGGGATAACGCGCGGCCCGGAGCAACATCCACATCGGTTCGCGGATTACTTCGTCATATGCGGCCTCGACAAGGACTCGGGTCTTGAACCGGACAAGTACTTCGGTGAGTCGTTGCCACTCGCTCTTTCTTCTTGCGCGCTGATACCCGCGCGCTCTCGTTATCTATTCCGCGAGTCTTTATTCTCAGCGTGGAATTAAGCGAGAAAGAAGGAGAGAAAGCGAGACTGAGGGGGAGAGAGAGAGAGAGAGAGAGAGAGAGAGAGAGAGAGAAAGAGGGGGGAATGCTCTATAACCGAGACAGAATTCAATAGTCGCGAAAAACGAAATGTCAAAGGGACAACGATATTGCTAAAAATAATTTTTCGTCTTAAAATACAATCTCTCGGCAGGCAGATAATATTCTATCCAAATCCGCGAGAAAATCCGTAATCCAAGGGCGCGACTATATTGTATACAGTGCGTTCCAAAATCGTCGATTCGCGCACGGCTTAAACCGCAACATCAAAGACCAATCTCTGGGTGAGACAATTGATCTTCGTATTAACAATAATTTCGTGCGCGATTGCGGTAATTGAGCTTTCGCGATGCGTGCCCGGGCGAAAAGTTCAATTACTATTCAAGAGTTTAATGGAACTTTCATTCGCGACTAGAATTGGGGACGGTATAATAAATATATTACACGAGGTTTAATTAATCTGTCTCAATGGTAAGCCCCAAGTTGAATTTAAGCTGCGCTTCATTCCGAGTCGAAAGTAAAAGCAGGCTATCCGCGTAATGACTCACATTTGATTTTTGCGAATTAATGTATTTTCGCGAGTCACGCACGCACACAGCGACGGGCAATGCAGAATTAACATTAACATTAACGAAAGGCGCGCGTGTTTCCGTTTTAAGCAAGAAGGGGATCTCGGCGGTACTTTCTTGAAACTTCCAAATGAAACAAGGACTCCCGGGGTGAGGAAGGAGCGGAAGGACCCACACGGTGCGTAGAGAGCGGTATAGTTTTCCTCGTGCGAAAGCAGGGAACGTTTGACAATTGATTTTCCTTCGTGGAAGAGCGTTTGAGCTCGCAGCGTGCGGGAATGGACCGCGCGGTCAATCTCGTGTGTCGGGCCCTCTCCGTCGTTAGGCTGTCGTACACACCGGATGTGTACGGGAAACCTCGCGATAGGGAGGCTTCGGGATATACGAGAATGTGCGGCGAGCGACAACCCTCCTGAGAAACGTTGGGACCGGCTTTCCACGTAAAAAAAAAAAATCGTTTCAATGAGAGGGTTCTCCCTCGAGAACTGCCGTAACTAAAAGGGCTCTTGTATCCCGGTGACGAATTGCTTGTCCCGCCATCAGTTGTTAGCCTACATTGTTTTATGGGCTTCGGACGTTATTCGTCTCGCTCGAGGATCTTGGCCTCGGGAATTGCACGAGAATTTCAGCCTCGAAAAATTGCAGATAAAAGAGAAACGATTCCTTGAACGGGTTGAGAATAACGGGGATATTTATTTAGGATTTTTTCACGGAAGTATTTACATGGTTTCTCTCACACTCGAATAGCAAATTTATCTGTTTATACTATAGTTTTAATATGATTTACCTGTATTTAATATGATGACAATAGTATTTGTAATATAATTGAATTATTAGATATGCGTATAGAGTTTTAAGATTAACTCTTAGCGAGATTGGCAAGATTTGCAGCGTAAAAATATCCATAAGAAAAAAAGGTAACGCGTGCCTGAGAATAAGGTCAAAGTTTACGTCTGTGAGGAACGATACAGGATACACAGAGGGTTTTATATTAGTATATTACACAGGATATTCCGAAGTTCCCCCACACGTAACGAATATATATCTCGCACAAGAGATTAATAGCGACTTTCAGAATTCCGCAAAAACTTCTTAAGGTGAAATTACTCGCGTATATATTTTATTCTGTTTGATTATTTAAGTAGAATAGAATATATAAATTTAGAAATTTGTCATAATATTTGGAAAAAACTCATTTTTAAAGTAAAAAAAGAGATAGTTCTATTTCTCTATGAAAATAGTAGAATATGACTTTAAATGTTTAATATATGCTGTTGACGAATTTCTTACGACGTAATAACTGCAGTTTACATTATTTTCTTCGCGTTTCTCCGATATTTTTTTTTTATTACTGTCAAGCTGATTTCTCCGCAAAATTGCGCACTAGTAAATATCAATAACTGCACGATTGTCGAGCGCGACACTTCACCCAGTTTTCACTGCGGTTCTTCATTTTCTGCTTCGAATGGAATGCAATAACTCGGTTAATTAGCGAAGAGAGAGCGAGAGAGAGAAGTATTCTCTATTCTCTGTTAGAAGTATTTTATATTCATCAAATGCGTAAATAGAAAAACATTTCTCCTTGTTCGCAAAAAATCTATTACGCGCTATGCAATATATGACATGGAATATGCATATTTTTTTTATACCTCGCGGAAATACAAATAATTGTTGAAATATCTAGTTGAAATATTATCGTGTCTCTTGATTGTTTCTTTTTCTAGTTCAGTTTAATTAATCGTTGATCCATTTTTAGATTATTTTTTAATCCATAAATTAATCACATTTTTTATTTATTGCGTATCCTTCGGTTAGCTTTGCTTTCCTTTCGTTTATTTTTAGCAAACTTGTCTATAGCAATCTCCTTACGTCTAGTAAATCTCCTTTTTTTGCAAATATTAGCTATCCATATTTTCATGCCTCATTCTTTTCACTTAGGGCCTCACCCTTCTTTGCGAATGTCTAAAGAGCAATGGTCTGCGGAAGGGTCGCATTACCCCTTAAATACTTATTTTTAGCCTGTTAGATTTTAAGTATGAAATATTTTAATATGAAATATCGGTGCTATAAAATACTTTTCGTACGTTTTTAGCGATTTTAGATCTGCGATTTTATCATTATGATTTAATTTAAGGATGATTAGTCCGGGTAAACAAATATTACTACAAACGTATAATAAAGAAATATTTTTTACAAAAATTACGAATAAAGTTGTAGGAGAGAATAACGCTTGGGATAATAATTTAAAGTGGTTATAGTTTTATATAAGACTATTAAAAATTTATTATTAAAAAATGTATATTTAAATGTGTTTATGAAAAGTTTTGATTTTTGAAATATTGCTACTGCTTTGAAATATATCTACTGCTTAAAATTTTTCGATGTTCAATGAACTCTTTTTTGCCGCAGAACGAACTACTTTTTATTTATCATAGTGCATACATGTTTGTTGTGAACGCCTACGTGCATGTGCGTTGTATGACTTGGCCCTATAACCACGCTTCCGCCTTTTAAACGCATACTTAAGTGCCGGTAGTCCCTT